CCCCCCACGCCCACCCGTACCCAACACCCAGGACTGCCCATGTAAAAAAAAACCCCACAGTTTCTGGAAGGTCATAACATGAATGTCATGGACTGGCCAGACACACAGACAAAGTGACAGACACTCAGACAGACAGACTGACAGACAGACACACGCACGCACACAAACACACACATACAGACAAAGTGACAGACACACAGACAGACAGACAGACAGACAGACACACACACACACACACACACACACACACTCACAGACGGACATATAATATAGTAAAAAAGCGCTATCCAGCCTCTTCATGATACCACATACTTTACCAATCACTAGAATATGGCACATCACACACTCAATGCACACACAAAAACAGACAAAAAGAGAAACAATGCAACAAACAAACAAACAATACAACAAACAGACAAACAATACAACAAACAGACAAACAATACAACAAACAGACAAACAATACAACAAACAGACAAACAATACAGCAAACAGACATACAATACCACACGCAAACAAACAATACAACAAACAGAAAAAATGATTAACATGACTAACTTTCAAGATTCCATTTTCTTGAGCTGGGCGGAGGCACTTCTTGCTCCAAAAGCGCAACGATGGAAAAGTCTGGCAGCCGCTGTACTCAAAGATGTTGGTGGGTTGCAGGTTTTTAGAAGCAAGGTAAAAGCAAATAATTTTAAAGGGCTCGACGCTATATCTTGATCTAGTAAGTTTGGGAGAAGTGTGATAATTAAATTATGGTTAGAATACTCTAATAAAGACACTATGTCCTCTCGTTAAACGACTCTATTTTTAATAACGAATATATAATCTATAAAAATCAAACCCTCTTTTTACCATCTTGTATACAAAGGGGCATTTTAGCAATAAAGGATATAACCCAGGATGGACGGTTACAGTCTTTAGAAGAGTTTAGAGAAAAATATGGATGCAATCCACGTTGTGTTTTAGACTACAATATTATATCAAATGCGATGTGTTTTAATGATGACAAGGATGACAACTTTTGTTTCAGAGACGCAATTGTAGGTACTATAGGGAGAAAACGTTTTGTTTCAGCATTAAGAAAAATTGAGCCACCACTGTGCATAGGTATTTGGAAAAGAAAATATGGTGTTGATATTAATGAAAAACACTGGCAAATAATCCATCACGCTAAGGAAACACGTTTGAGAAAGTTAAATTGAAAAGTACAACACAATATCTATCCCACTAACATACTACTCTTCAAAATGAAATCAAAGGAATCTCAAAATTGCGAATATTGCAATTAGCCTGATTTTGTAGAGCATTTTTTAAATAATTGTAAGTTAATGTCCAGCCACTTTGGAGAGAAATTGAAAAAGATTTACAGGTTCACATAGGTACATCAATTGTAATTAATGAGAAAATAGTTATACTTGGGGCAGTGAAGGGAATCGATGTAGGTCACCGTGAATGGGGGATAACAAATGCAGCTATTGCAATCGGAAAATTAACTGTATCTAAATAAAAGTATGGGAAAGTAAGACATATCATAGACATTTATGAGAGTGAATGTAGTCTCAGACAATTTTGGGCTAAGTGCTAGAGGCTAGGCTTCCAGTCTCCATCTCATGCCATTTGTGAGGCAGCGCGGTGGAATCAGGCTCTCGTCAAAATAATCAAAGTGAAGAAACTTGCATTTTTCCGCAGGTTTGTGAATTTTTATCAAAATTTTGTTTTTTGGCTCAACACCTGTCATGCCCATTAAAGAACTCATTTCATTTGGATTTTTCTTTAAAACGTTGATTAAAGGCACAAAAAATGTAAATTTTCAGTTACGACGGACTGTTAAGCTAAGGAAATAACTAATCTTTGGCGGCGATTTTCTCACTAATTTTACCTCTGAAAACAGGTGACCCCCTCCTCCTTCATTCACAAATATCTCGACTTGTATTCAAGATAAATGGATTTTTTTTTTAACAAATAAAGACAAGTGAACAAGCTTTAAGATGATACCAATAACTCTACATGCTCAAAAATTGACGAGAGCCTGATTCCACCACGCTGCCTCACATATTTTTTTTGGTCCCCGCATGAAAGCGAGCTTAAGTGGAAGACTGTTATACATAGCTGTGTGTGTGTGTGTGTGTGTGTGTGTGTGTGT